AAAGAGTGTTAAAAGAGAATAATCTGTGAGCAGAGGTTTTGGCAAATGACTGTGGTAAATCTACAAAAAGTTATTTAGGAGTCATCCTAGCTATTGGTAGTCCTCTTTGGTTGAAGACTACCACCCACGTGACGGAGTTCGCAGGAGAGAGCTTGTGTGCACACTGGTTGCTTCAGTGCAGAGTTTGGCATCTTAGTCTAAACTGAAGGTGGAGGAAGAGCTGAGCTGAGGAGATAGAGTATGTAGTGAGGCAGCTGAGAGCTGGGGAAGCTTCTGATCTCATCACACAGCTGCAGGGACAGTGAGCTACAGCAGAGTGGTGGCAACAAAAAGTCAAGGGCAGTGCCTTCAGCTACTGCAACCATTAGCTGGGTGAGTGAATCAAAACTCTTAAGGCAGAAAAACATCTTTTGAGCCACTTGTTCTTTTAACAGTGGGGTGCTGAGTTTTCATGTTTGCATTTGTGCAGTGTTAATCCTTTGATTCCCTTGATTTCTGTTTTTTAAAAAATAAGGTTTATTTTTTGTATTTTAGTAAAATACAAATGAAAATGCCAAACAGTCCAAAATATAATATTTCATAGGAATAGAGAAGTATTTATTACCTTAGGAAAAGCCCTATTCCAGTTGTGTAAGTGCATGATCTGTGAGCTATGTAACTAGATATATATAAAACACATCCTCATTTTGTGATTTTCCCACTACATCTGAAAAGAATCTTTTGTTTTCTGTGCAGATAGTACTTTACAATGTTTCGGTAGACAAAAGATTAGGTACAATAGAAAAACATCAGAACTAAAATCCCCATGCTCTGAATAAAATGGAGTCTGAGCTGTTTATTCACACAGTTTAAGCCAACTCTGTTGTAGTAAAGAAAACAATTGCATGCAATTGGAACCATATATTTATTTAGTGCTCAAAAATCAGTTAGCTTCGTAAGCAAAGCAGGCTCTTTGTTTCCTGACTTTCAAACAAAGCTATTTCTAAAAATAGAGATCTAGTACATCTTATTTTCAAATAATAAGAAACATGTTTCTAAGGCATCATATACTTGCCTCACTCCACTTGGCAGGTTATTTGCTGAAACTAAAATAGTAAATTACTTGACTCTGGGGAGCACTGATATGCTAATTACCAAACTAATTGTTGATTTACTAGTTAATTAGTGCTAACAATAGTTTGATGTGCTAATTTGATTTAGTCAAGTTGCCTTATGAGAATGTTATAAGGTATATTGTTTGTCAGGCTTGAGAAGGCAGGACAGAGCCTGATTCAAAACCTGTTTAACTCAATAGAGCCCTTATGCTGCATCAGGTATTTGAGCAAATAGGACAAGAGTGCAAAACTTGTTTGATTCACTATTGTTGATCCAAATAATGAAATCATCTGATTGAATTGCCAAAATAATGGAAAAGATGGATACTGTAGCACAATTTCCTTTCACCTGTTCTTCTCTCCTTACCCTTCAGCATGTTCTTTACAGGATACTCCTTTTCAGTGTTTTCATCCACAGTGTTTTGTCCTGAATCCCCATCATGCTTTCTTGTTACCTGCTGTATGGGTTTACAGCACTTGCCATTATTATTTTAGCTACTGTCGATAAACCAGAGTCACCAACTATAGATGGTAAAACCTAGATCTCTCTCTAACCTGTATTCTTCTGGACTTAGTGCAAATTCAGGATTGTTAATACAGAGCTTTACCACATTTTGCATATGCCTCTAGCTCTCTCTGAACATTCTGTGGCAGGCATCTTCTCTGATTTGCATATCACTTTAATTTTTCACATTCAGGGTTCTCTGATCTCTAACATTCTTTCTGTCTAGAATCTTGGAGATAAATAGTCGTGCAGATATGTACATAAAGCTCAGGTCACATCAAGTTTTGTTATGCAACTTTTTACCTTTTGGCTAGATAAATACGGTCTTGACTTGTTCATATCTGTCTGAAATGCCATAAAAAAACCATTCCAACTTTGCTCTTTTTCTGAACAAATCTGATTTTTCTTCTTCCAGCTCACTTCTTCTACTTGGGTCATATTAAACATGAGCTTGTCTTGTCTCTGAAGATCTTTTAGAGACCGTCTTTTCTCATTTTGTGAGAGTCTACTTGTTACATCTTCAAATAAGTACCTCTATAATTTCCTATGCAACTGTTCACCCTTAGAAGACTCCTTGAAAATATCTGTAAAGCAGCCCTTTGTTATTCTAAGTTCCTTCTTAAAATCTTGTTTTGCCTCTTAAAAAGAATTATACAACTAAGCTGCCAGTATGTATAGACTACTGCCTTCTGCACAGATGAATATCATCACGTTATCCCTTTCTACTGCCTCTCTGCCTTGTAATTAGATAGGGTATTCTGTGGGGTAATGCACCCTGCCTTATTCTGTTAACACACTACCTAAACACTTCAGTCTTAGTTCAAAATCAGGAATTCTAGCAGTCTGGCAGTTACATAAAACTGGTACATTTTTACAATATAAAACCGATGCTATTAAAAAAGCTCAAATGACAATAATTACAGATTAGAAAAATAGGCCCAATCGGGAAATACAATGGCATACTCACAGCACTTGCAATTAATGTACAGTACCTGGTACAATCAAAGAAAGCCCAGGATAAATGCAAATCTTTTATATTCTGGTTTTGAAAATTAGTATCTTGTATAAGGCAAATCTAGAAGTAAAGGCTTAGGTTTCTAACAGGACAAACCAGATGTTTCCTGTTTGGACAGTTCCCAAGAAACTAGACATTAAATATGTCATTAGACCAGGCCTGAAATTTGTCAGGCCTGACAATAGAGTGTAATTTTGAAGAAAATGTCATGTTTCTTCAGGAATAAGAAAGACATATTTTATTATATTTTTAAAGGATTTGTTGCATTCAAACACCATGCTGAACAGAGGTTGCTCAAAGGTTTGAAACATAATTGTAAAGAAACTTATAGTAGAAATAGCTGAATTGCTGACTGAAGTGGATGGCTTCTCACCTGAAACATCCTCAGTATCAAGAAAAGGGGAAATGCAGTGCCATGTTTCAAAAAGATGGGTGGGACCTCTGCCCAGTAAGCCTGGTAACCGTTGTAAGGAAATTATTGGGGTACTGTCTAAAGAAGACAATTGGTGTGAACGAACATGATGTTGTGGTAAAGGGTCACTATGCATTTCGTAAGGGGAAGCTACACATTATGAACACATGGGAGTCCTCTGAAGAAATTAACAGGCAAGTGGATGAGGGACTTCTTGTTTGGTATACAAAAAGTATTAAACAAGGTCCAAATTTTATGTATACAAAGGTGAACTGATGCGTACAGGAAAAGAATAATCCTAATCTTCATTAACTACATTCTGAATTGGTCGTTCCATCTCCCTCTTAACAGTAGCCATTTCTACGGAACCAGTTCTTTGTTTGCCAGCAGTCGAAAAGTATATATAGTGCAGCTTTCCCCCCACGAATCATTACAACAGGGGAAAAATAGTACAAGTCATTGTTATTCCACTGTTTAAATCTATGCTGCATCTGTGCTTGGAAAATCGTGCCTTTCTGATTTTCCTTATGTTAACAGGAATATTGAAAAAACAGGGAAGGTACCCAGGGGGCTGCGTAGGCAATCAAAGAGAGAGATGAGCTTTGGTACAAAGAATAAATAAATAGACTGACTTCTCTACCTGTGATGCTCAATAGGAGAAGGGAAACAAAATAGAGATGATTGGAATTGCACAAAGTCATGAGCACGTTGAGAAGATGGATGGCAATCCAGAAGTTACTATCTCTTCCAATCTAGCACTAGAGGTAATCGCTTGAAATCAGCAGATCCATATGCCTATACACTTGGCCCAGGGCTAAATATACCTTTGATATGAGCCAATACTGCTGTTCTCATGTTACGTTCTAATGTTATTTTCTTATCATGAATGCAAAAAATGTCCAGTGGCAAAAAATCAGTATAGGGACTTATAAAATTTCAGTTAAATATAGTCAGTATTTCCATGTTTCTACCAGGTTGTTTCCTTCTTTCTATGGAGAAATCTAGTTTGCTCTTCAGTTGTTGGTTGTTTTTTTTTTTTAATTTGGAAACTTGTTTACTTCCTCTTCCAGTGCTCAAAGGAAATTTTTCATTCTTTCAGAAGAAATTGAAGCATAACTCCTTTACTTAAATTTTACCTTTACTTCCCTTTCGTATTAAGCAACAGCAGGAGGCCATGCATCCCTCTAAACTGCAGCTAGC